TTCTAGTAGAACCATGGATCCATCCATAGACAGACACTGACAGGAACTTTCTGGATCAGCACCATATTTTTACTCACTTTTAAATAAATCTTGAGTAATTCTGAGCACATTTTGACTCATTTTGAACCATTTCAAGTCATGTTTGGACTAACTTTGAGTGAATTTGTAGACTTTTGACCAGTATTTGAAAGTTTTTAGCCGTTTCAGACACATTTCAAGTCATTTTACACAATAACAGGACTTTTTGTGGCAATTTTGAGTTATTTTAAACTGATTTCAAGTCCAAATATGTAAAACTGGAAGCTTGTCTTGATAAGACTGGATCTTGGTAGAAATATAAATCCATCCATATATATTCACTGACAGGAACTTTCTGGGGACACAGTAACATCCTTGCTGGATCCATTCAATCATTTCTATCTGCTAGAAACTGTTCTGTCTGTTACGAAGCTTTTGGAGGGTGAAAAAACTAAACTTCTCTCGTCTGAAAACACATAAAAACCTCAAACTTCAGCCTGAATACTTTTTACGGAGCTCAGTTTTTGAATCCGACATAACAGATGGGTAAACGCCGATCGAATTCTGACCCTGTAGCTGCAGATTTAACCGGTTTAAAGAGTTTCTGCTCTTCTGTCCGTTCAGGCTACGGAGCTGCTGTTCGCGTCGACGAGTGCAGCTTCCATCAGGTGGTTCGACTGGACGAGTTCGACAGCCACCGAATCCTGCGGCTGTGTCCCAGCCAGGGAGAGGTGCTCACTCGCTCACTGATTTAAACTCCTGTAGTTGAACCTGTAAAACCAACTTGTAGAAGCTTTTGTACATAGTTGAAGCACCAACGCGCCGTCAGAATACGCTGCACGTTTAATCCTTTCTGTCCGTCTTCATGCAGCAAACGGTGATGCAGTATCAGCTGAGCGACGATCTTCCTTCAGCTCCTCCTTTCCGACTGTTTCCAACCATCGAGAGAGACAGCGGAGGAAGGTGAGCGTATGAAACGCATCAGCTTCACGGCTTCATTTCGTGGTTCCAGTTCAAAACTTACATCTTTTGCCAATTCTTTGAGTTTTTGTCCAAGTAAACGGTAAAGTCAGAACAAACTCAGACACGTATCTAAATGCTTTTCAACCGTTAAACGAATTGCCAGTGATTTTGATAATCGGTAAATGTGAATGTTTCTAGTTTCTTTCCTCCTCTGTGACAGTAAACTGAAAATCTTTGGACAAAATAAGACATTTGAGGAAACACTCGTTGACTTTTTTTAGAGACCAAACGACTTTTACTGAAATAATTTTATGTTAAATCGAAGCCGCCTCTGTGACGGGTTTGGTTTGTAAACGTCTTGGGAGAACCCCAAGGTTCAAGTCTGGGCCCACTGCTTTTCAGTTTCTCATATAAATGCTTAATATATAAAGTAACTGACGTATTAATCAACAGTGAAAATAAATACAGCAATACTTTATGGATGCTTTTCAGGAAATCGCTATGTGAAAGAATAAGGAGGTAAACGTGTGCATTAAACAACCGGAAATGTCTTTGATTGGTGAATTTACAGCAAAACCACGATAAGGTTGTATCATTGTGGCTGAATTTAGTAAATCATGAAGGCAGGAGGATTTGGTGTTTTGGTGCTTCACAGTAAATACTGACAAATACAAAAAAATTAAAAGAAATAATCAAAGTGATAAACAATATTTGCAGCAAGTTTAATCAAATGATTCACTCTAGAACGTGCAAAGTTACACAACATGTCAGGTAAACATTGATATAGATCTACAATGGTAGAAATGGTAAAATGATAATACTGTAATGCATTTAAAGGGCCCAGGTTTATTAAAAAGGGTAGTTTTACCCTGACTGAATATTTCCTCCAAACTACAGTAACTTTAGATTTGAAACAGTGACCCTACAGACAAGAGAGACTGGGTTAGACTGGGT